AGGGGAGGGGGAGGGGAGGGGAGGGGAGGAAAGGTTATTGATCCTGAGCTGAGAAAGGGAGAGGGGGGGAGGAGGGATCATAAATTTCCCAGGTATCATTTCATCACTTACCATATGTTACCAGTAAACTTGAGACTTCATTGAAGGTCATTTCGCTACCCCAAATAGTTCTCAGCTCTCATGTGGAAGACTGCTATCCTGAGGGGCAGAGATGGTCAACTTTTCCCCACCTCTGGAGAGTGTAGACCAGAAAGTTTGTTTCCTGGAAGACATCTAGGAGATCCATTGGTGAAGTCAGCTGTGCAGGGCTGAAGCTAAAAGGGAGGAAAGATGTTTGTGCTCAAAGCACAGACATGGTGAGGTCACCCAGGGAGTGTGCATAGCATAAGGGTCCAGAGTTCTAGGAGAATCACATTTAAGTGAGGGGCAGAGGAGATGTCTACAAAGAAGACTTAGGAAGAGCAGCCAGGAGAATGTGAAAGGGGAAAGTATTTCAGGGAGGAGGGAGAAGACAAAGGGCATGTCAACCTGCGGCTGCCCTGAGCCCAGGGTAGCTATGAATGTGGTCCAACAAAAAATTGTACACTTAAAACATATTTTTGTGTGTGATTGTTTTTTGTTGGGAGAGAAGAGTCCTCTAGATTCCCAAAGAAGCCTCCCTTTGCATATGGAGACTAAGATGGGAGCTCTAAGCAAGGTAGCCACTGTAGGTCATGGTGTGGTACCACCTTAGGCTATTACAGGAAGTGAATTCCAACTTGTAGAACTAGGGTTTGAGGAGGTCAGTCAGACTGCCCAAGAGGTAGGTCTCACTATATGTGACCTCCTTCCTACCCCAGTATATGTGACCCTGCTGGTTTTTGGATGTTTCCATGGACTTTTACATCTCAGTTATTTTTTATATTTAATTCATCATTGTGGGACCCAAGGATATATCACAATTTTCTGGTTAAAAAAATCATACTTTTGAGGCTGGGCATGATGATGCATGCCTATAATCCCAGCACTCAGGAAGTGGGGGTAGGAGGATTGCCAAATTGGAAGTCAGCCTGGGCTACATAGTGAAACCTTGTCTCAAAAAACCAAAACCATCCAAACCAAAAAAAAAAAAAAATCATATTTCTTGTCTACCCTAAGCCCCATGGAATAAACATATGTAAGGGTGCCTGAGAACCTGTGGGTTTTGAGTTCCTATATGATTCTGCTAAGAGCCCAAATGGGACATCCCTAAGTTGTAGGTGTTCTGCTCAGTCCCCCTCCCCGTATCTCACCCTTGCTGCTTCTCCAGGCCGAGAGGACCTGACCCTAGAACTCCCACCCTTCCCTGCTTCATTTCTCTGATGGTCCATTTCATTTACATATTTATAGTGTGTTATGTGTCTCATCCTGCTAGATGGATGCTTCAGGGAAACAAAGTATTCTGGCTTTCCTGTTTTGTTTCCTTTTTTTTTTTTTCTCTAGGCTTTTTGAGATAGGGTCTCTCTGTAGGCCCTCTCTGAGCCTAGAACTTGCTAGGTAGATCAGGCTGGCCTCGAATAAAAGTGTTTATCATCACACCTGGCCTCATTTTTTACTTTTAACTACATACATTAGGCGCATAATAAATGATGGCTCAATGGATCGATGAAGACTCAAAGAACCAAGGCTTGGCTTTCTGTCTATTCTAATGAATACCATATGACAAGAAAAATAAAGGACAAATAATTTTATCAAGAAAAATTAAGAAGGTATGGCAAATTGTTATCTTTCTCTGTAGAGAGTCACAAGCATAGAAAAAGCAGGTCACAAAGAGACAAAGAAAATGAAGCAGCACAAAGATGCAGAACTGCAGGTTCACGGCTGCAGGGACTTGAGCATCTTTTCCTGGAAATAGCTGTGAAGTAGCAGCTCGTGTCCTTGCTGAATTCATAAGTAGCTTTTGGACTTTTGTCACCAAATTTCAGAGTTTATTCTGAAAATAAAGACCTGCTTTTCCACGAATTCTGAGGACTTTCCCTTTAGAATTTAGGCATCTATGTCCCTCCCTACCTGTGTCACACGCCTCCTTCCCCAACATATGTGACCCATATGCTGGTTTCTGGATGCTTCCTTAAACTTTTACCAACCATCTGTTTTGTTTATCTAATATTAGACTGCCTCAATCAACAGAGATTGGAATTACTCTAAGATCAGCATTGTGTGTGTGTGTGCATGTGTGTGTATATATATATATATGTGTGTGTGTGTGTGTGTGTGTATGTGTATATGTATACATGTGTATGTTTGTGCATGTATGTATGTGTATATGCATGCATGTGTATGCATATGTGTGTGCATATGTGTATTGTGTGTGTTTATAGGTATGTGTGCATGTGTGCACACATGTATATATGTGTTTATATGTGAGTATATGTGCATGTGTATATGTGTATGGGTATGTGTGTGTGCATGTATGTGTGTGCATGTGTGTGTATATGTGTGTGTGAGTAGTTTCTGTTTGTTTGGTTTTTTGGAAATGCTAAGAGTCAAGTAAGGCCACATTTTCATTTAAA